TGTGTACAGATACGAGCCGCTGATATGGTGTCCGCTGATACGGTGTCCGCTGATACGAGTCGGCTGATACGAGTCCTCCGCTGATACGAGTCCTCTGCTGATACGAGTCGGCTGATACGAGTCCGCGGATACGAGTCGGCTGATACAAGTCCTCCGCTGATACGATACGAGTCCGCTGATACGATACGAGTCCGCTGATACGATACGAGTCCGCTGATACGATACGAGTCCTCCGCTGATACGAGTCCTCCGCTGATACGAGTCCGCTGATACAAGTCCGCTGATACGAGCCGCTGATACGAGCCAGTGATACGGAGGATGCTGATACGGTGTCCGCTGATACGAGTCGCTGATAGTACGGTGTTCGCTGATACGGTGTCCGCTGATAAGAGTCGCTGATATGATACGAGTTGCTGATACGGAGGAGTCGGTCTGGCTACGATTACGCCAGCATTGGTGCAGATCCATCATACTAGGGGGGACTTGCTGATACAGTGTCCGCTGATACGAGTCGCTGATACGAGCCACTGATACGGAGGACACTGATACGGAGGCTCGCTACTGATACGGAGGACGCTGATACGAGCCGCTGATACGAGCTGGTGATACGGCGAATGCTGATACGGAGGCTTGCTGATACGGCGAATGCTGATACTAGTACGGTGTCCGCTGATACGAGGAGTTGCTATAGTAGTAACTGCTAGTAACTACTTGTCCTCCCCCTAAGATCTTAGAAAAGTGTTATAATTATATGTTTCTGTTATTGTCAAGAATTACCTTCATCATTCGTCTTTTTACTGTGGAAATTGCTTTATGCTTGATGATGGAAGTAATTCTGCTCAACCGACTTGGCGGATTTTTTGATGGATTTTGGTACTGTGGTGGTCAGTAGGATGTTAGCGAAGTGTACGTACGTAGACTTGTACATGATTTCCTACTGTTGCAAAATTAGTTGCATTATTGATTGGTACCAACACTGTACGGTACGGTACCGTATGCTTTACCGTAGCATCAATGACAGAAGCATTACAAGCATGTCCGATCCGTTGTTTGCCGCGATGTTGCTCAAGGTT